GGACGTTTTCCACAATGACTGTCATAGGTAGGGACGTTTTGCGCCAATAACCCATTAGTCTTTGATTTTCAAATTTCACACATACCAATATAATCATAATTACTATTAATATTCAGAAGTTCATCACTCATTTTTGTCTATTGATAAATTAAAATCATTTACAAATTCTTCCCAAATATAGGCTTAGCAATAATTATAAGGAAAATCCATTAATTAATTGCAAAATAACTCATATTTAAATCTATAGCAATAATAATGTCCCAAGATCTCTTTTTTCCGACGGAGAGAACTTTGCCCTCATAGCAACAAATTGTCTACAAAACCAAAAATAAATTTTTGATTGCAACGTCATAGCTTGACTGTGCCATGATAAGGAAACAAATACGCTATTTTGAAAACAAAAAATTCATTAAAGTGCACCGTGTCTTGATGCAAAACATAGTAATCCCCCCATTGAAGCACCGACATTGTGTTGTAAATCAAATTCAGACGATAGAACGATACAGTTGTAAAAAGTTGGAGTCAATTGGTGAGCTCAAACAAAATTTAAGGTTACAAAAGAGAAGGTTCTCCGAATGAGAAAGGCAAATGGGCTCGAGCCAAATTTCGTGTTTAGTAGTAATCAATCACGAAGAGGTTTCACTTATACAATTAATGAGATGTCTATCGCTTATTTAGTGTAAAATGAACTATTTTATAACATGTCTATCGCTTATACAATTAATGAGATGATTGAGAGTGCAATTGATGCATGAGCCGAGGATGGTGAAGATATGCTGCACTTCTTAAATAAGCTCGAGTCCTCCACGAATTTGGAAACGTTTACGTAAACTTGTGATTCCATTTAGCTATTGGTTTCCTCTAAATGATGAAGACCTAAATTTTAGATCTAGTATAAATCAACCTAGATAGGCTTGAATATGTTTTACTAATATTATCAGAATTTTTTGCGATAGTCTAAATAATAAATTATCATCCTTTCAAAATATTGAGAGAATTTGAAAATGGTCAATCTGTATGTTAGACCCAGTTATTGATAGACACAAGAATCATGGTATTTAAGAAGCGAAAACACAATCAACCAAGTTTTGAGTTCACATAAATACTTAGAATCAACTAATAATTCTATAAAAATAAAATGAAATTACGAGAAACAAAAAATCCTTATTTATCTCAACCGCGACAAGAGTGGAACTATGATGACCAACCTGATTTGAAACCACTCCGACTGCACTATATCCACAATCACGGACTAGAGAAAGGCGGCCATTGTCTCTGCCTATCTCTAATAAGTGTTTTAATTTGTTAAGGGATAGAATCTCATATCGAATAAAGATGTAAATGTAAACCGACTTATATAGAATTGAGTTACTCCTCTTAATAATGTTGACATTTTAATATGGAATCTCAAATTTTAACATGGTATCAGAGCCCATTAAACTCTAACAAGCAATTCGATTCGGCTCAAACTCCAAAAGTGAGCACATGGATTTCAATATTGGTCTGTTCAAACGAGCTACCATCTTGTGGGGGCATGTTACAGTATAGAATCCCACATCGAATAAAAATGTAAATATAAGCCAACTTATAACGAATTTTGGTTACTCTTTTTAATAAGGTTGACATTTTAAAATGGAATCTCAATTCTTAATACGTTTTTGATGGAGTTTGTCAGATTCCCCCAAGTCCACCTCTTCATGATCCTCAGGTAGCAATATTGTCACAAGCCAATCACAACCTCAACACCAAAATCGACTAAAACACCTAAATCAAGATTACTCTTGAGTTTTTGTAGCACTGAATTGTTTAAGACCGAGAAATAACTCTTCCTTGAAGTATCCACCGCATGAGTGAGTTGGAACTTCAAGAAAAAGCCTTCGCAAAAGATAAAATCACTCTAAGAACCTGAGGAAACACAACAATATTCGATTGTCTGTACTAGTTGTACAAAGTCCGAGTGCTTTTGCCAAAGTTTTAATATGTACAATAATCAATGAACATGTAGGTCTTTTAGAAAATGATGTCTATGAAACATCACAATATATAAGATATGGAAACATAATCTTCGCTCATCGTATTTAAGGTAGTCTCGTGTTTAAGGTAGTCTCGTGTGCACCAAGCGAACGAAATAATTTTAGGATCTTTTGAAAAAATAGACATAGTTTCCAAAATCAAGAACATGTCGTATTGTGAAACTGTCCTAACATCAGAAATCGCAACTAGACAAGAATACAATATAAAAAATCTGAATTTAAAGAAATATAAAGGGAAAATAACGGCACCGGTCCCAAAGCTTCATATGTAATTGCAGCGTTGGTCCCAAATCGCAGATTCCGTCCAAATTGCCGTCAATTAATAGGAAAATTTGGATTTTGGCTCAAATGAGAGGTCAAAATTGTCAAAACGTATCTATTACCCAACCAAACAAGACAAATGTCATTTTTTTTATTTCATTCAAAGAATAGCATTCAGCTCCTCCTGTGTAAATTGACTAAATTCTAATTCTGCATCCCTTTCTACACGCAGCAGATCCGACAAATGGTTGGTAAATTCATCAATTTTGTTCTGAATGGCTTTGACTTTCTCCAGGTCTAGTCCAAGAACACCACGAACAGACTTCGATTGGGTAGTCTTCCTTTCAATGGCTCTGTGTTGAGCTGCAAACGCACAAAATCAGTTCAAAATTAAACAAAAGAATGCCTCACAATTGGCGGGAGAGAGGATAATGGAATATGGATACCTGAATTGGCAAGTTCCTTGAGCTGCTTCCATGACTCAATTTCACTCCACTTCGAAATCAATGTCAAACCAGGCCCCATTCGCTGTTTGAGCCCCGAAAATCCCCCCTGCATCTCCGCCATGGCAAAATCCGAAGCCATTGCTCTTATGCCCAGCATATCCATTGTGTAAGTGTTATGCCCTAG